CTCCTCCTCGTCCTCCTCCTCCTCTTCCTCCTTCTCCTTCCGCTCCCCTAAGCGGCCGTTTGGTATGGGTCTCCTGGGGGGCCTTTCGGGACTCTCGTGGACGCTTTTCGATGCCGTATGCTGCAAGCTGTGGTTGTTTGTTACCACGTCGCCCGCGTGACGTAATGTTGACTCGTGCTGGAGCCCGCTCGGGGCCCTCTTAGGGTCATATGGGGCCTGTTCTTGAGCAGCCATGGGGCATCCGTTTGAACAGCTCCCCAACCCCTCCCCAGCCATCAGAATCGCCACCCCCGCCACCATCCGCACCGCCACTACCACCATCAGCTCTGCAACACCACCACCGCTGCCACCACCACCACCACCACCACCACCACCACCACCATCACCACGACACCAAAACCGCATGCTCCCCCTCCTCATCCAGCTTCTCATCATGTTCCTCTTCTTCACCATGATCAGCACCATCATGCTCATCAACAGCATCGTCATCATCATCATCATCATCAGCATCATCATCATCATCATCATCATTATCATAAGCAACATCATCATAAGCATCAGCATCGTCACCATCATCATGACCATCATCATCATCATCATCAGCAGCATCATCATCATCGTCATCAAACTCAGTGTCTTCATCATCAGCATCAGCATCATCACCATCAGCATCACCATACCCATCACCATCACCAATATAAGCATCGTCACTATCATAAAGAAGATCATACACGTCGGTCGGAAGACGTAGGTAGAAGCATGAAGTAGGAAGGCGGATATAGTAGATTGGGTCCAGGCCCTCCCAGAGAATAACAAAACACAGCCACACCATGTCGATTCGTGAAGTAGGAAGGCGCTTGAAGTAGATTGGAATCCAGGAGCCCAACAAATACATACTTTCAGCGACCGCCGTGTAATCAGCATCATCAGCATCACCAACATCACCAACAGCATCATCATCATACTCATCATCATCAGCATAAGCATCAACATCAGCATCAGCGACAACAACATCATCATCACCATCAGCATCCATATCGTCATCATCAGCATCATCATCAGCATCATCAGCACCATCGGCATCATCATCATAATCATACTCATAATCAACAGCATCAGCATCAGCCGCAGCATCGTCATCAGCATCACCGTCGTCAGCAACGTCGGCATCATCCACCTGATCGGCATCGTCAGCAGCAGCATAATCACCACAACCATCACCTTCACCATCACAAACGCATTTGTCATAATCAACATCATCAGCATCACCGGCAACAGCAGCATGATCGTCGTCGCCATCGGCAGCAACATCATCACCACCATCAGCACCACTATCATCACTACCATCATCATCATCAGCATCATCATCGGCACCCTCATCGTCATCATCATCGACATCAGCATCATCATATCCAGAATCGGCATCAGCATCACCAGTGTCAGCATCACCACTATGATCATCATCGTCACCACCATCGCCATCAGCATCAACATCGTCACCAGCAGCAGTGTCGGTGTCGCCATCGTCGTCTTCCTTACCATCTTCGCCAGCATCACCGTCGTCATCATCATCGTCAACAGCGACATCGTCATCACCACCATCATCATCATCATCATGATCACCAGCATCATCGACAGCATCGGCACCAGCATCAGCATCATCATCATCAACATCATGGGCACACGCATCCTCATCACCATCGTCACCAGCAGCAGCCGCATCATCATCATCAGCATCACCATCATCATCGTCATAATAATCATACACAGCATTCGACTTGTCGTGTTCGCCATCGTCGTCGTCCTCGCCATCGTCATCAGAATCACCATAAACATGGGTATCTGCAGCAGCAGCGGCATCGGCATCGTCATGAGCATCCGCATCAGCATCATCAGCATCAGCATCAGCATCATCCTCATCACCATCATCAACAACAGCATCATCAACAGCATCAGTTCTCATCATCAGCATCGTCAGTACCAGTAGCAGTGTTGTCGTCTGTTCGTTCTGCTCTACCTCCCCATGCGGTTCCCCCATCGTCTCGCATCAACATATGTCTTCCTCCTCCGCCGCCTCCTCCTCCTCCTCCTCCTCCTCCTCCTCCTCCCCATCCTCCCCCTCCTCCTCCTCAGTCTCGTCCTCCTCCTCCTCCTTATCGTCATCCTCCTGTTCCCCCCTCCTCCTACTTCTCCGTCCTCCTTTTCCTCCACCTCTTCCTCCTCCTCCTCTTCCACCACCTCCTCCTATTTCGCTTCCTCCTCTCCGCATTCTCGTCATCCTCCGCATTCTCTTCATCCTCCGCATTCTCCCCCTCTTCCTCCTCATCCTCCTCCTCATCCTTCTCCTCCTCTTCCTCCTCCTCCTCCTCCTCCTCCACCTCCTCCGCCTCCACCTCTTTCTCCTCTTCCTCCTCCTCCGCATTCCTCCTCCTTCCTCCTCCTCCTCCTCATCATCCCCCCCTCGTGCTTCTCCCCCCTGGCCTCGCACGTAGCATCATCATATTCAGCATCAGCATCATTAGATTCAGCGTCATCGCAATCAACATCAGCAGCATCATCATCATCGTCATCATCATCATCATCATCATCATCATCAGCATCATCATCATCATCATCATCATCATCATCAGCATCATCATCATCATCATCATCATCAGCATCATCATCAGCATCATCATCAGCATCGTCATCATCATCACCATCATCATAAACATCATCATCAGCAGCATCATCATCAGCATCCGCTGCATCATCATCATCAGTATCAGCGTCATCACAATCGTAATCAACAGCAGCATCATCATCATCAGCAGCAGCAGCTACATCATCATCATCATCATCATCATCATCATCATCATCATCATCATCATCATCGTCATCATCATCATCATCCTCATCCTCATCATCATCATCATCATCATCGTCATGATCATCAGCAACATCCTCAGCATCAGCAGCTGCATCATCATCATCAACATCAGCAGCATCAGCATGCTCAGCCTCAGCATCGTCAGCATCAACAGCATCATCAGCAGCATCATCAGCATCGTCATCATCTTCATCAGCAGCATCAGCATCATCATCACCATCATAATCATCATCAGCATCATCATCATCACCAGCTGTCATCAACATCACCATCGTCATCAGCATCATCAGTAGCAGTATTGTCGTTGACGTCAGCGTCGTCGCCCTTGCCATCGTCGCCATCACCATTGTCAGTAATCAGCATCATCATCAACATCATCAACAAGACAACAACAGCAGCATCGGCAGCAGCATCAGCATCGGCACCAGCAGCACCATCATCATCGGCATCGGCATCATCATCGTATCATCATCACACGCAGAAAAATTGCCATCGTCAGCAGCAGCAACACCATCACCATCATGCACGTCATCCGAATGGTCCTGTTCGCCATCGTGGCCATCATCGCCATCGTCATCATCATCGTCAGCATCATCAACAACACAACAACAGCATACTCGGCATCAGCACCAGCATCGGCATCAGCAGCATCATCATCAGCATCGGCATCACCATCGTATCATCATCACACGCAGAAAAATTGCCATTGTCATCAGCAGCAGCACCATCACCATCATGGACGTCATCCGAATTGTCGTGTTCGCCATCGTCGCCATCCTCGCCATCGTCATCAGCATCATCGCCATCATCACAACATCAGCAGCATCAGCCTCAGCATCATCAGCAGCATCATCAACAGCACCATCAGCAGCATCAGCATCATTATCGGTACCAGCGTCGTCGTCTATTCGGTATGCTCCTCCCTCCATCACCCCTCATCGACGTATGCATTATTCCTCCTCCTCCTCCGTTTCCTCCGTTTCCTCCTCCTCCTCCTCCTCCTCCTCCTCATTCTCGTCCTCATCCTCCTCCTCCTCGTTCTCTTCATCCTCCTCCTTTTCCCCCCTCCTCCTCCTCCTCCTCCCCCCTCCGTCTCCTCTCCCTCCTCCACCTCCTCCTCCTCCTTCTCTTCAGTCTCCTCCTCATTCTCGTGATCTTTCTCGTTCTCCCCAATCCTCCCTCCTCCTCCTCCTCCTCCTCCTCCCTCCTCCTCCTCCTCCTCCTCCTCCTCCTCCTCCTCCTCCTCCTCTTCCTCCTCCCTCGTCCTCCTCCTCTACCTCCTCATCCTCCCCCTCCTCGTGCGTTCCCCCCCCTTGCCTTGCACGTAGCATCAAGCCGAATTCTCGACACGAGCCGAGTCGGCCGCCTCTATGATGACGTGGCGTACGGAGGGCGGGGCCTGGCAGTGCAGGTGCCTCCATCGGCGGCGCGCAGGCAGGGGCCTCGGGCAGGAGTGACCTTTGTTGCGCTGGCCAGCCCACCGCTGCGTGCGTCGCGGCAGCCGCGGCCCGAACGAGGGACTCGCCAATGCCGACGCCGCCGACGACAACACGACGACGACGCCGACGCCGCCGCCGACGACGACGACGAGGACGACGACGCCGCCAACGACGACACGACGACGACGCCGACGCCGGCGACGACGACGCCGACGCCGACAACGACGACGACGACGACGAAGCCGACGCCGCCTCCGCCGCGGCCGCCGACGACGACGACAAGGACGACCACCCCACGCTCCCGCGCCCCCGGAAAGCCGCGCGCCAAGGGTCACTCCAGCGAAAGACACTCCCACGCGTTGCTGGTTTGGGGCGAGGTTTGGGGGGGCCCGAACGCTTGGTGGTGTGGTGACCACACGGCGTGGTGAGTCAGTGGAGGTACGGGGTCACCGCACGGATTGGGGACTTGGGTCGTTCGCCGAAGACGTCTCGGGCGACGGGGGTCTCGGAGGTCCCAAGACCGTGCGGTGACGGACCGCGCAGTGCGGTCTCTTGGGAGTTCGAGGTCACCGCGCGGTCCGTCGCCACACGGTGTTGGGACCCCCGACGGGTGTGCACCTGGCGCGTTCTCCAATACGGCTCCCTCCCTCCCGCCCCAGGAGTAGGATCAGGAAGAGGGGGAGGAAGAGGGAGGCGGAGGGGGCGGAATTCCGACACGAAACCAAGGCAGAATGATTAGAGCAACGCCCGAGGCCCCATCTCTATGGTGAGGTCGCCTCTCTTGGGGCACCCCGCGGTCAAACAATGCACGGCGGAACTGGGGCGTGATCTTGCAAAGCCGGCTTAATGCAAACCTCATGCTTGCAACGGCAAACATCTCAGAGGGGGAGAGGGAGGAGAACCAGGATATATTCTAAAACGTGAGTGGGAACAAGAACCCTCGGAGGGTCACCTGCTGGCAAACCTTAGAACAGTTCCAGCCATTACTCAAACCAAAAATACTATGCGACCACCTGCCCACGGCGGCTTAAATGAGTTCTGGCATACGGAACAGAAACAACGCCCTCGATATTGAGACGTCGCCGCTAGGCTACCCCGCGTACGACAAATTCAGAAACACTTACTCTCGCTGGTCAACCCGGACCCTCGATGTTGAAGCAGCGCCGAAGCTAGCAGCCGCCTGCAACAAATTCAACAAAAAACAATCTTACCCTCGCCGACCAGCCCGCACCGCCCTCGGCCCTCCCGCCCCCGCCACTCTGGCGCTGGCTCCCGCAATCCAGTAAATTCAACCCCTCGCTTGCGGCGCCGTTCTGGCGACGCAAGTCCTATTTACGGCGGGCTACAAAAAGAAGATGGCGCGCACGAGCTGCGAAGCCAGGATCTAAGAGAAGCTATGGAGATTCGCTGTGTCGCGAGTTCGCGTTTGTCGCAGGAGCGGGTGGGGGCTATGCCGCCTCCTCTCCTGCTCTCTGTGTCACCACCCCCACCACCAGTCCTCGACGCAAACCAGGCCCGTCTCACCACCCCCACCACCAGTCCTCGACGCAAACCAGGCCCGTCGCCTCTCTAATAGAAGGAGAAGATGAAGAGATCGAGAAGGATGGGGAGCTGGAGGAGAGGCAGGAGGAGCAGGATCGGGGGCAGCAGAAGGAGAAGCATGAGGACGAGGAGGACGAGGAGCAGGAGAACAGGCAGCAGGAGCAAGATCAGGGCAAGAGGAGAAGCATGTGGATGATGATGATGATGATGAGGAGGAGGAGGAGGAGGAGGAGGAGGAGGAGGAGAAGGAGGACAGACAGGAGGAGCAGGATCAAGGGCAGGAAACATGAGGATGATGATGAGGAGGAGGAGGAGGAGGAGGGGCGAACGTCACTTGGAGCAAGAGGAGGAGGAGGAGGAGGAGGAGGAGGAGGAGGAGGAGGAGGAGGAAGAGGAGAAGGAGGAGAAGGAGGAGCAGGAGCAGAAGCCGGACCAGGTGGAGCAGGAGGAGGGCGACAGGGCGAGCAGTCGGAGCACGACGGGCAGCAGTAGCAATTGCGATCCTCTTGCACATGCGGCACTGGCCAGTACAGCATAGCATGAGGAGGAGGTGGATGATGATGAAGATGAAGACGATGCTGCTGCTGATGCTGCTGATGATGATGATGAGCATGATGATGATGGTGATGATGCTGATGCTGATGCTAATACTGACGCTGACGATAATGATGATGATGATGCTGATGATGATGGTGATTATGATGAGATGTCATATGAGGAAGGTGATGATGACGACGAAGGTTACGAGGTAAATGAGGTCAACATTGGTTTAGCTCGAGGTCATCGCGAGGTATTATTGGGAGATCTTGATGCCATCGGGAGTTCTATCGGGACATCATGTTGTGGCCTGCTTCAGGGCATGGCGTGGCCATAATCGAAACATTACGCGGTCATATTCAGGTCACTGGTTTGCGGTGATGAGGTCATCTTGACGTCATCTTGGGATCATATCAGTCAAAACGAAGTCATGCTGGGGTCATCTTGAAGTGTTCGTGGACTTCATGGGATCGCATGTGTGCAATATTGGGGGCATCGTGAGGTCATCTGGAGGTTTTCTTGGAGTCAGCGTGAGGTCACCGTGAAATCGTCCTGGCGCCATCTTCATGACAACATGAGGTCATCATGAGCTCTGTTTCCAGTCACGGTGTGGTCATCTTGAAATCACAGTAAGATAATGTGCAGGTCACCATCGCGTGTTGTGGAGGTCGTCTTGACGTCAAACTGAAACTAGGTCTTGGGGTCGTGGTGATGGGTCCATCGTGGGGTCGTGGGGCCATCGTGAGGCCATCGAGAGGTCATGTTGATGCTATGTTCGTCGTTTTGGGGGGTCTTTATACTGACGTAAGTTTGAAGTAATCGTAGATATGTTTGTGGTCATCTCAAGGTTATTCTGCGAAGCACCCTCTTGATGAACTGGTGGTGGTGGCAATACAAATAAAGAAGAGGAGAGATGGAGGCGTAGCCCTCCCTTGCATCCTCAAATCCAATCAAGAAACGAATCCCAACACACAAAACGAATCCATCATTTGTCTGACAGGGCGCTTCCGAACTGCGGAAACCAAAAGGTATCGATACCGCTACTCCCCGGACGGGTGCGCCCTGACCCAGATTTCGAAGCAAACCCAGCCGTGGCGACGAGGGCGAAAACGAGTCATTCGTAGCGGTGTCGGTACCTTGCCATTCTTTGACGAACAGCACGGAGCCCCAGGACGCAACCCCTCACGCCGCCTCGCCTTTGGTCTCTGGCGCCTTCCGCTTGACTCCCCGCATGCCCTTCTTGAAGGAGCCGCGCCTGACTGTCACGAGCCCGGGCCACCTGGCCCAGAACTTGGGCCCAAGGGCGAACTCCTTGTCAGACAACAAGATCTGGTCCAGTTCCGAGCGGATCTCTGCCTCCCTCATGTCGGCGCCGATGAAGGCAAGCTCCTGGCGCCGGTCTCCGTAAAGCTTCTCCCTCCACTGTGCGGCCTCCTCCGGCCACTCGGACGGCGGCGTCGGTGAGGCCTTCAGCCACTGAGGGCCTGCCTTGAGGCTCATGGCAAGTCCTGCATGGCTCCACTCCACGGCCGTGTCATGGTCCCCGGCCGACCACACGAAGCCCTTCGAGCGAAGTACGCCTGGGAAGCCGCCGTCTTTCAGCATTCGATTCAGGCGCCGAGGGTGGAACGGACGCTCTGCGCGGTAGACGAAGCTGGAAATGCCGTACTCGTCGCTCTCTGGCGTGTGCCCGCCCTGTAGCTCCTTGATCCACCCCGGCGTCATGCTCGCCGACTCCATGTCGAAGAGGTTCGTGTTCAGCACAAGCTTCGGGCTCACCGCCGAATACCTGCTCTCGACGATCTGGGCTCCGGGGTTGAGCTTCCGGAGGATGCCCCTCAGGCGGCCCAGCTCGGAGGCGGAGACAAGGTCCGTCTTGTTGAGGACCAGGACGTTGGCGAATTCCACCTGGTCGACCAGCAAGTCCACGATCGTTCTCTTGTCGGACTCCTCCGCCCCCAGCTCCTCCCTGTCCACGAACTTGTCACCACTGCCATAGTCGTTCAAAAAATTCTTGCAGTCCACAACCGTGACGAGCGTGTCCAGGCGCGCAACGCTTCCGAGCAGTGCCAAACCCTGGTCGTCGGTGGCAGCCCACGTGGCAGCAACGGGCATCGGCTCCGAGATGCCCGTGCTCTCGATCAGTAGGTGATCGAAGCGACGCTCAAGCGACAGCGCTCGAACGCTCTTGATCAAATCGTCACGAAGTGTACAGCATATGCATCCGTTGCTGAGCTCCACCAGTTTGTCCTTGCTCTCCTCAAGCTTCACGCCGTCCTGCAAGAGCTTCGAGTCAATGTTGACAGATGCCATGTCGTTGACCAAGACGGCGACACGCAACCCCTCCCGATTGTTTAATATGTGCGTGAGCAAGGTCGTCTTGCCAGCACCGAGGAAGCCACTCAACACCGTAACCGGCAGCTTCTCTGAAAGATCACCGCTGCTTTTGCCCCGGCCAGCGGGCTCGACCTCCGTGGGCTCGCCGAACATCCCCACGAACTCGTCCCTGTCTTCGGCAGACAGGCGCTCGACGGTAATCAAGAAGCGCCTGCTTGCAGCGCTGCCCACGTCGGCCGAATAAGGCGCTCTGTGCAGCAGAGGGCGTGTGGCCGAGCTCGCCCCACCCTTCATAAGAACTGCGTCGCCGGCTCTGGTCGGGATGTCCTCCGAAACCGCGCTCTTGTTCCAGGCCCTGCACTGCTCCGTGTTCGCATCGCCGCCCTCGCCCTCACCCGACATCTCCGCTGGCGGCCCCTGGTCGTACAGTGCCCAGTCCACTGCGTGGTCGGGAGCGAGCACGGTGCCCTCTCCGACCAGGGTGGCAACCAGCCGAAGGTTCACGAAGTCGTCATGGAACTTGATGCAGGCGGAGGGGGCGTTCACGTCCAGCTTGACGGACCAGAAGGGCCTCTCGCCGCCGCCGCCCGAGCCGCCGCAGGCCGCGTCGTAGAGCTGCATCGCGCGCTCGACGAACGACACGAGCCGCTCCTGCGGCCCGGCGTCCGTCAGCCGCCCCGCCTCCGCGGCGTCCACGCCCTCCTCGCCCACGAGGGCCTCGCGCAGGTGCCCGAAGTCCTCCCGCAGCTGCCGCCGGAGCTGGGCGCCGAAGGCCTCGCCCGCCTGCGCCTGGTGGCCCTCCCAGTACCGCAGCTCGTCCGCCGCCTTCTCGCCTCGGGGGGCGCACGGGCCACGGGGGTCAGCGCACCCCCGGGGGCAGCCGGGGCCACGCCGCGAACCCAGGGCGGCCACGAATCGGCTCCCAGACTGGAGGGGCACAGGGACACGCAAAGAAATGGGCACAGATCCCAAGATCCCCCGGATGTTCCCATACTTTCTGGACTTTCGTATACCCCTGCACCCCCCATCTTTTCCCGCATTCTCTGGGGAAAGCGACGATCAAGTGTGTCTTGTTTGTGTCTTCCTCTCCGGACAAACCCAGGTCAGCGAAAGGCGGGGGAGCGAGGTCGGCTCCAGGTGGCTCCCAAGCCCGGATCAGCCTGACGATCTCGGAGGGGATTGGCTGACCCCCGTTGGTGCTGACCCTCGTTCTGTGGGTCCCGATCGCCGAGGCTGCAGAGGGATGCAGCCCAGCCCACGAGGAGGTCCCCCTCGGCGGCGCCCTGCGCGAACTCTCGGACGATGCATCCGTTGCGGCCGCTGTCCGACGGGAACTTCTCGAAGGCCTCGGGTAGGGGGCACTGCAGCAACTCGCTGGCGGTTAGGGTGAGCACGGATCCCGAAGCGGTCATGGCGGGATGGTGGGCAAGGGTTCGGAGGGCACCAACTATACCCCTACACCGATCCTGGCCAGCCCAATCCTGGGCCTAGGATTGGCCTGGCCAGGATCGGTGCTGGTGTATAGTTGGTGCCCTCCTCAGGGTGGCGAACGAACAGCGCACCCATACCCATAGGGGGGCTCGGAGGGCAGAGGCTTGGATGCTGGCATGGGTGTGGGCCGTCAGACCCCCGGAGGGGGGCTCCCGCTCGAGCGGGGGACCCCGTCCGACAACACGCGCTCATAGCCCCCTCCTCCTCCCCCTCCTCCTCCTCCTCCCCCTCCTCCTCCTCCTCCTCCTCTTCCTCCTCCTCCTCCTCCTCCTCCTCCTCCTCCTCCTCCTCCTCCTCCTCCTCCTCCCCCGACAACACGCACTCATAGCCCCCCACGCACTATGGGCGTGCGTGTTGCTCGTTCCTGAAAGAACGGAGGCCCTGGGGCGCCAACTGCGCAGGAGCGCGTTTCGGGCCAGAGGGTCCCGTGGAGCAGAGGGGACACCTTGAGCAGAAATGACTGCGGGAAGGGGAGGAGGAGGGAGACGAGGACGGAGCAAACCCAAGATGCATCATCGATGCTGGAATGCAACCGCCCGTCCTAAGTCTCCTTCCTATGAGTCGCGAGAAGCTCTCCTCTCTATTTGAAGAAGCCTCCCCGTGAAAGACCAGCGAGATCCTCTTTCTGAGAAAAAAGCAGCCCCCTCTGTCGAAGTGTTTCACGAAGTTGCACGTCGAACCAGGAGTGCCGAACAACTCCCGAGCGAAAATCACATGTTGAGAAGGAGCCGCTCTCCACCCGTGTGCCTGTTACATGCGTTCATGCTTCCAGATTCAAAACTTAAACACGTCTCAAACGAAAGCCTCGCTTTGAAACGGAGCCGCCCACCATCATTGAGACTGCTGCAAGCTGTTGAAGCGAACGCGCGCGGCGCCGAGGCAAGAGCCCCAGTTTGAGGAGGAACGCCCTCCATCCACGAGGCTGTCGCAAACTTTCATGACGAATGTGCGCGGTGCTGAGGCGACAGCCCTATGTTTGAAAATATACACACGTTCAACGAATGCGCGCGACGCTGAGGCAAAAGCACCTCTTTGAAAACCACTTGTACTCCATCCACGAATCTGTCGCAAGCGCTCACAATGAATGTCCCCAACGCTGAGGCGAGAGTCTCGTTGTGAAAGGCATCCGCCATCAATTCTAAAACTGCTGCAATATCCTTTACGGAGAAAAAGCAAAAGGCGAGAGCCCCAGTTTGAAAGCGACCCCTCTCCATCCTGGAAGCTGCTGCAAATCTATAACCTTCAAGACGATAAAGGTGAGGGGATATCAAGTGAAACGCCCGGCCCCGCCCTACTGACACATCTGGGGGTGCGACACGGAGGAACCATCCTACTGGACGACGACGACGACGATCTCAACGAGGACAAAGGACGCAGACGACGACGACGAGGGAGGAGGAGCACCAACTCCCACGACAGATTTGACCCCCGTGCGAAAGCAGCCCTGGACCTTCACGACCCCAAGCTTTTTCCTTTTTCACGAAGGACGTGCACATGTGGCCCTGGCCACGGCGGACTCCTGCCGCGGGGTTTCGCTGCGAACGCGCCGAAGGGGAGGCCACTGGCCATGCGCTCACCCTGCTCCTGCCCCTCCTCCTCCTCCTCTTCCTCCTCCTCCTCCTCCTCCTCCTCCTCCTCCTCCTCCTCCTCCTCCTCCTCCTCCTCCTCCTCCCCCTCCACCTCCACCTCCTCCTCCACCTCCACCTCCTCCTCCTCCTCCACCTCCTCCTCCTCCTCCACCTCCGCGGCGCGGCTGCTCCCGACGCCGCGTGGATCGCTCGACCCCGACAGGACCGGCGGGCTCGGGAGATCCTGCGCACCGAAGGCCTGCCCTCGGCCCCTCCAGGGCGAGGAAACCGGTGGACCCAAGAAGATCGCGCGAGCACTGGAAGCCTGCCCTCGGCCTCTCCCTCCCCCTCCGCACTCTCCCCCCTTCCCCTTTGCCCCATCTCCCTGGGAGGAAGGGGGGAGGAGGAGGAGGAGGAGGAGGAGGAGGAGGAGGAGGAGGAGGAGGGCCAGTACGCTGCGGCGCGCCGGTTCGTCGACCACGACGGCTGGAGAACCTCGACAGCCAAACGCAGTCATAGAGACCGGCCTCCGGACATGGAGAGGGGACGGGCTGCGAGGGCAGCCGACCACCAGATAATATGGACAGTGCCGAACGCTATCGAGGACCTGTGTCCTGCAAGAGCGGCTGGCGGACACTAACATAATAGTGACATGCTCCGCAGAATATGAGACACAGCCAATGCAACACTGTAGGATCAAACACAAACAAAGACGTATGCCCGTTGAGTTCAAACTGCGTTCCACGCAAGCTGTGGGAACCTCATCTGTCCTGGCCGCGTGGCCGATGCAGCTGCTGATGTGCGAGGCTTCCCCGGGGCATACATACGGTTTGGTCTGGCGCATCCCCCACGCCCGGATGGAGTGAGAGGAGGGGGGAGGAGGAGGAGGAGAAAAGAGGAGAACGGAGGAGGGGGCGAGGAGGGGCAAACATTGAGTGAACAGGTTTGGCACTGACGTCTCACTCTTGGCACGCGAAGATCGCAGCCTGTAGCGCACGATCCACCGCGGCAACGGACGGGCGCTCTTCGCCCTCCTAGACCTTGGTTTACAGGTGAAGAGCCAACACGACTCGTCGAATGGCGGAGCGACGAGCGAGCGGGCCAGACGGAGGGTAGAAGGTGCCAAGGGCCCACCGTTGGATCGGGTCAGCAGGGGTCGGGGTCGAGGGAGGAAAGAGGAGACCTGTGAGACAGGGGCACGTGAGGTAGTGGCGGAAGTCGTCAACGGCGTGCGCGGCGGGGCATCCGAAACGACAGGGCCGACCACTAAGGACGTGCATACGCCCCCGTGTCGTCCAGCCGCCGCACGCCGTTTTGAGGAAAGCCCAGCGCCACGACGGTCGCGCTTGAATCAGTTCCCCCCGAAGCTCGCCCCAAACCTCCCTCATCTCGGCCACCGTCCTGGGCGCCGCTCCGCCGTGCCATGCGCGAAGGCGGCGGTGGAGGAGGAGGTGGAGGCGGTCCGGGAAAGAAGCGGGGAGGAGGGTGCGCGCGATGGCACGCTGGATGTGGGGCTTCCTGCGCGCCACCGATGCCTGCTGGCGCTCATCCCGCGCTGCTTGCCGCGCAGCCTGAAGATCCTGCGCGCGAAATGGCGGCAAGTCCTCACTCCCTTCCGCCACCGCAGCCAGGTGCTGGGCAAAGGCCGTCGGGTCCTCCCAAAAACGCGGCGACCACTCCCCCTTCCTGAAATCCATGCGGAAAGCATGATCTTCCGCCGCGCTCCGCAGACGTTCCAGGGCCAGCCTCCAATCCGGGAGAGTATGCAGAGCCATGCGCATGCGCGCAGCGGTGGTCATGATCTCCAAGGAGGGAATGGCGCCTGCTGGGAACCACGCGGCCAAACTTAAAAGCTCAGAGCGCGAGAACTTAAAAGCTCAGAACGAGCTCAGGAGCGAGTGAAGGGCTAAGAATTCCGAACGAGCCATGCGCGGCAAAGGCACGAATTGGGCGACATATGATAGAGTCGACACCGCGTGGGACGCATACAAGCGGACCGCGCTGTCGGGCGGAGCGTTGGTCTTTGGTATCTGATGGGTGCGGCTCCACCACTTCTGCCGTGGGCCGTGCCACTGCCGCGCTCGATCGGCGCCCGGCCCCACGAACAGACCTAAGTAGCGAGCGTACGAGGCAATCTTGAACCGCCCCCATTCCTCACCTAGCAAACGCAGTTTCTCCGAGAGCCGACCAACGACTGAAGGCGTCGGGAGTGCAAACAACGGCACAACTACACACTTGGCGGCCTGGAGTGCCAAGCCGGCGAGGCGTCGCGCGGCGCGGAAAGGTGCAGACATGGGGCTCAGAGCACTGATGTCGTAGCTGACGATACCCACGTCGTCTGCGCAGCCGCCGACGGAGCCGACGTCCTTCGACGGGAAAGCCGCACAGAGCGATCGCAGGATTGGGTCCATGGCCACCGCCCACGCCACTCCAGAAGCCGGGCATCCCTGGGCAACGCCAGCCAGGACAGGGAGAAATCGAAGTCGGCGCCCCGCCAAGCGGATCCACGTCATCGGTTGGAAGTACAATGCGCTGAACATCCAAACGTACCCAATCGGGAGACCAAACCGCCGTAGTGCACACGTGAGCCAAGTCCGGGACAAGCTCGGGAAGGCGGCGGCGAAGTCGTAGCTCGTGAAGGTCGGCATCCGCTCCTCCGCCCGCGGCAGGATGCCCGCGCGCCGTGCTTCCGCGTCCAAGGCCACCACGTGGCTGCAAAAGTTCCTCCCGTGGACGAACCCCTTTTGCGACTCGTGCGCCCGCTCCTGCACCGGGCCGCGGAGCTTGAAGGCCATCGCGCTGGCGTGCGCCTTAATGTCAGTGCTCTTGAGCATGAGGGTACGCAGGGCGTCAGGTGTGCGGTGCACTGCGATGGCGTCTTCCGCGAGGTCTCCCTTGGGGATGCAGGCCATGTCCGCGTCGTTGAGGTCATAGGGGACGTCGCCGCCCGAATACAAGTGCGCTCGAAGGTCCATTAAGACTCGAAGCGACGCCGGGTGCTGGAGCCACGCGTCGTAAGTGAAGCCATCTGGTCCTGGCTGCGATCGACGCCCTGTCCTCAACGCGGCTTTCACCTCGGCTTCGGAGGGCACCGCTAAATCCAAGACGTCGCTGGCAGGCATGCGCTGGTTGATGTAGGCAGCAATCTCCTCCTCGGGCGCGGACGGTTTCATGGAGATCGGGCCCCAGTGACCCCTGATGGCGTCGAGCATGGTCTGGGAATCGGAGGCGACCTGGTCACCGGCCGACGAGTCGTCAATGCGAATGCCCGCAAGGACGACCCTGCGTCGAAAGGGGGCCCAGGCTAGGGCGCGCCGCACAGCAACGCGCGGCCCACGCTTCGCGAGCTCGGCGCGCGGCGGCTTCGCGAATGCGCACCTGCTCCGTCTCGTTGGCGACCCGGGCAACGCGAGCGAACTCCTGCGGGTCGGAGAGGACAACTGCGCCGTCCACCACGTCGATGTGCAAGGCGCCCAGGTCGGTGGAGTTCCGCAGGAGGCAAGCCACCCGGGCGTCCTGTCGCCATCAAGCCCGGGCAATGGCCCGGAGTGTCACCAGGCGCCCCTGCTTTGCCAGCGGCGAGGGGTCGTCTCCAGGGAGCCGCTGCGAATGGTCACGGACGAACTGCGCGGCGAGCCGCATGAGTTGCTTGTGGCACTGCCAGCGCTGTACCACAGGCAGGTGGTCTAAGTGCGACAACTCCACGAGCTGGCCGAGCTTGGCGCCAAACAGGGGGCTCTTAAAGATGAAAGCAGGGAGAGAGCGATCCGCATTCGGCAGCCCCGTCTGGAACCCCAGACTCAGCCGCACCACCGCATGATCACTCAACCGAGAGTCTGACATCCCTGGTATACATCTTGAAGAACCTCCGCCTGCATGTCGAGCTGCG